GGCCTCTACTTACCCATGGATAGTCCATCTTCATTCCCTCTCCTAAATTTGGTTCTCCCTTGTGTTATATTCACAGGTTGATTGCTTGCCTCCCCATGCTTGGCTTGTAATTCATTTGATGTTTAACGATAATACCCTTAAAGCAAGAATGCAGCTTATCTATTCTCTATAAACTATTTTTCATGGCCGACTTACTTCCCCTAATTTCCGATATCCTGTTGCAGGTGCTGTTGCTAGCGTATTTCCACTGATGTCTCCCTCTTTTTTTTCAGAACTTTACTCCAAATTTATGCATGGGCGCGTGACACCCAGCCTGGCCCTGGTCGATGACATTAATGTAATCTGCTCTTGCCTAAAAATGTTCCTTTCCGCTCTGGACGAGCCTCTGGTCACCTACGCTCACCGGCCTGAGTTCGCCGAGGTTGCCAAGCTTGCAGAGTCAGAACCGGAGGTCTTCAAGTTTCGTGTGGCAATGATTCTGGACAAATTGCCGTCTGTCTACCGAGACACTCTCTCCTACCTCATGCTCCACCTAAAGGTTCGTCCTCCCCCCATTTTGAGCCTATCGTCTCTGTTTTCGGATTCCTGGGGACAGGAAATTCCTGGTAGTTTGACAAACACATCAAAAGCCCAGTTACGCGAAGTGGTTATTACACTTTCATCACGCCTATCCAGTAAACCAGATGGCAGAGCCCAATGTGTATCAATAATGCTGATAATTTTGATTATATGCAAATTACTTCTTCGCGAGAAACGTTGATGGGGGCTCTGTGCTAGATCATACACTGCGCCAATACTCAGATCACCTCTTCTAAACTTATCTAGCCGGTTGCATGTGTATGGAGTGCCCAGGGTTTGGGGGGGGGGGCAGAGGTGACTGCTCCGTTTGGTTAACAGTTAGTGCCGAGTATTATACTAGATAAAGTGGTCACCCCGTTCTGACAAATATCTAGGATAATACTTATTTCCGGAAGAAGAGTATCATTGTGAACCTTCGTCTATTCTCCCAGACATCAGGACTGGCTCCTGGGCCCATTTCCGCACTCTAAGCCCTATCTAGTTATACTGTGAATGTGAATATCTACAGCCGTCCGCAATAGCACAAGACCGAAATTGTTAGGTAGTTCACAATTTAAACTGCTTGTTTTGTCAGTTTTTGTGTTTCCAGGACTGACTTTGGGGCCATTTCGAAAGCTTGGGCGAATAGACCATCGTTTTATCCCCACTTAACTATTCTCCCTCTTCGCCCATGCTGTACTATCTTCCACCGTCTCCCAATTCTCATCGTGACTCCACGAAAAGGTTCTTAGTGAGATACTACCAACCCCGGTAATCGTTTTAATCGGTAGGCTAAGCCAGCATATTGTTTCCCGCACCTGTGAGGTTGCGCTTTTAGTCTGCATCAGTCAGTAGAAACCAACTGAAAACTCCTAAGACAAGGCTTTATGTACTTGCACTTGTTACGGCTGTGAGCATGCCTGATCTAGCCGGCCTCAATGAT